AATTATAACTTATAAGTTACATATGACTATTATTGCTAGGTGTCGTTAAGTCTGGTCAGGTAAAAATATTTCACTGTCAAAAATAACTATTGTTGATTATAAGTTACACAACTTTTTATAATTTTTGTTTTCTAACGAAAAACGTTAAGACGTATAGGAAATACTTCGGAACACAAAATACTTAGTGTGTACTGTGTATATTATATTAAACTGCGCCAACTGAAAAGTTAGTCGCATGACATTTAATATAATATTATGTGGTCAGTTGTCAATGAGCTTATTTTTGTTTAAGTTATGATTCATAAACTATATTTTATCATTCATTGTGCATTTGTGCATTGATTTACCATACCTATACACTCGACATAAGCTATGTATAATACTCTATGTTCATTAGTCATTATATGCGACAATCGTTTATTATATGTATTATGTTAATACGGATACTGACCATTCATACGTTACCATTAACCTAATCTAATTTCTATTGAATATTAATTTATTTTTAATACCGATTGCACATTTTTTAAATTTGTCACGTTTTGTCTCATAGTATATCGTTTTAATTTACTCATAAGACAATATTAATGCAGTTAGTGTTTTATAGTCATTATTATGTAGAGCGTATCGTACCCGATATATCAAATAGCAAAATATATTTACTTGTCGTACGCCCGTGCCTATATACCTATATATAAATAGGTACTCAGTAATGTTCATTATTTTATGCAAAGCTAATAGTGAATTATTTTTTTTAACAGTAGGTAGGTATACGACGTAAAATGAATCGATTAGTCAAAACATCAAAAATCTGTTTATGTACAATTGTAGTAAGAAACAATGTATTATAACATTTTAATATGATGTCGTTAATAATAACGTACGATATACCTTCCAGTCTGAATATAATATATACTTATACAATATATGGAACATGTATATATAAAGTTTTTGTTCAGAGAATCAGAGAAGTAATAAAACAGTAGGCACTACATGCGTTTATTTTATGTTTTAAATGCTAGTTTTGAATTGGTAAACTATAAGCAATTAATACTTCAGTGTTTAGGTATACCGTGGAATATGGGAACCGAAGAGAGGGACTACAACGTTTATGATCTTGCGCGGAGCGATCCATGTTTATTGTAATGATATTCATTTTTACAATAATGATTTATGTTTTTTATTATTTATATTATTTTTTTTTATGCTTTCAATAATCGCAGACACTATGATTTTCATCTCGTAACGGTGAGGTTAGGTAACTTGCATATTTCTGTACACTTGGTGACGTGCTGTGACAGATTCACAAAATAATTGTGCTAATAATTTTGTGTTTAAGTATTTGAATTTTAAGTCGAAAATACTTCATTGACGTTTTGCTACAATAATAATGATACAAACATATGTAATACCATTGATTATAAATATACTAGTATTAATCAATAGTAACAAATACACTAATACGTATAAATATATAATACATAATATATTTGGTTATTGATTGGAAAAATTTTGATATTGAACTTAGACGATTTGGTTAGTACATCGTGATAACTTTTTTGATCCACGGTAGTGGAATAACATGAAAACTGCGTGTTTTACTGCAGTTGAAACATTATATTCCTAGTCCGTAAAGTCATATAGTATAGGTACAAGACCAAAAGTTTCGTTTTCACAGATAAAGAATTATTTAACAATAAAATAATATATAGTATATCATCAACAAATTTCTCAAAACGTTCAAATTTTATCAATTATTTATATGAAAGTATTATACTATTATACCTATAATAGGTAATGCTAGAGAAATCTCATTCTAGATATTACCTTTATACTATAATATGTATGATTTCAATTGCATTTGAGTTGCGAAAATTTTTATTTTTTATCAATCACATCCACTTATAATTTTTTATACTGAGCGGCTACTATATTGTAGCCAATTTTTGTTTCAAAAATTAAACTAATTGTCAAAAAAAAAATGTTTAAGCCAATTTTTGAAATAATTTTGTTGATAATGGTTTTTGTTCTGATTCAAAAACGAATAATCGTAGACTTGGCATTTAAAAAAAAAAATTGTTTATTTGTGCATTTTTAGGACATGATGACATTTTCAAAATTGTTCTAATTTTTTTTTAATAGACTTAGGTATGATTGATAAAACTCTTATTTTCAAGTTTGAAAATGTAGTACAAGATTCATCACAAGTTTTCTTTCAGTGTGTATCAAAAACGTATAATTATAATTTATTTTATTAGCGTTTGAACACTTTGAAGTTTAAATGTTGACAAAATTCGTCAAAATCATGAGTTATTTTGTAGATGTACGTGTTAATCTGTCAGGTCGCACCCGATTAGAATTTTTTCCATCGTATACAATATTATTTATCATTGAATTCAAGTTTAACAAATCCATTACAGTGACCTACTCAATGACAAGGGGCGCCGTGCACTTGACATCTATAATTATACAGCAGAGCGGTTATACCTACTTGACCGCTTTTAGATTCTGAGCGGAGCGATGAATGTATTAGTTTTACGAAGATGTGTTTTTTTCTGTAAGTCATTACCTTTTGGAGCAGTACAAAAATGTTTAACTTTGACGGCAGTTCCTAGTAACAAATTGGTTGCAAAACTAGTTCATACTTTAGCATTAAGGTAAATTCCAGTACTTTTAATTGAAAAAAAAAAACAAAAAAATGTATGAAAAAGCGAGAATTAACAAAACCGAATGCTTGTATTTAGCATTATTAGCTCTTATTATAGACATGGTATAATATTCAAAATATTTTGGCTCTTTTTGTGCTTTTTATGGATAGTTTTTTTCGATTAATGTATGATACGATTCGTCTAGTAAAAAAGCTTGAAAATTAAAATTGTCCATAATTTAATTCAAAAATATGAAAAATACAGTTACAATTATTGTTTATAAGCGTTTAAAATTTAAAATTTTTATGAAATTGTTCATATAATGACAATTTAAAAGTTATTTTGTATTTAAAAATGTATAACATTTTTTATACTACCACCTAAGGTTATATAAAATAATTTGCAACAAAAGCTTAAAATTGTATTTTTAAAGACATTATAATGTTTAAGATTACAATATTGAAAATACATACATTAAAAATATTTATTACTATTTTATTATTTTTACATATTTAAAATACTGAGTTCAATGCAACCATAGTAGAATATTATATTATTATACCCTCTATTAGTTTTAAAAAAATGATCAAATTTCGTTGATTCTACAGGACAAGATAATTATTCCAGTAAAGTGCATTTTCGTAGATAAAATGACATTGGTACCGGGTGCCTTAACCCTACATGGGCAGATGGGCTAACCGAGTAACAGACCGTCTCCGCCATGTAGAATCGTTTTTCATTAGTACTTATCAAAAAAATTATTACTATTAATGGGGGACGGAGTCGCCAAGTAGACTAAGGCGTCGGTTGCAACTTGCGCCGTCGCCGGTTCGAACCTCGGTCACGGTGGGCACTTTTCTCCGGGCAGGCACCTGTCTGGAGAGAGAGGCCGCCATCCCCCAACTAGACATGGCAGAAACCTACGGATGCCCAATCAAAATTCTGCCAAATGGGCGTCCTACTCCTGGACATAGTACCATACGAAAAAAAAATAAATATGATTTATCATTGAATTCAAATGTAACACTTCCCATTTCAATAAATACTGGATGACAGGGAACACTCAATATCTACTATACAGCAGAGCGAATTCCCCGGTACTTATTTTATTTTTTTTTACTCGTTTAGAAATTTATAAAACATCTTTGAGCTTATAACTCAAGCATTTAAGGCTTATACTTAGTTATTTTAAGTACTTACGCATTTTTTAATACTATGTGCGTGTGACAAATTACCGATTTTTTATTTGTTCCTTATGTGACTTATAATGCTGATAAGACGGTAGCGGCACACGCGCATATGTACCGCATTTCTTACACACGAACCACTCCGCGGAAGCAGTCCGGGTCGCCGATCGGTATATTATAATAATAATAAAATCGGCGTTAGACTTTCTGGAACCGACGAGGTAGCCTTGACGACGTAACGCGTCAAAACACACCATAACGTTATGTAGTGTAGTTACGTGTTCATCCTGCCTTCGCATAACACATTTTGTTATCAATTAATAATGTATTACAGCGCGATAATGTGGCTCGTCGTGTAATTTTTCGGATTGAAGATAAAATCTGCAGGATAAGCGAACATCTTAATTTTTTGTATTTATATTATTTAAGCCATTATATTATTAAGTTAAATGTTCAATGACAAATCCGATATTTTCAAAATCGTTTCAATATTGTTAATTTTTTTTTATAGCACGTTAAATGGGGACGGACTGGCTATTTTTGGTCCAAGGTGCGAAATTGATTAGGGGCCAGTATTTTTGTTTTAACTTCCTAAAATAGGGAAAGAGTTCCATACATTACAATTAGAGTTAAATTTAAGAATAATGGCTCGACAGTGGTTAAAAGAGCCCGGGGCGCAACTTGGACGATATAACCCTGGGCCAGTCCACCCCGACCCCGACAATCACTATGGAAAATATATCTAACGCCTAATACTTAGTGTATTGTGTGTCCGAAATTAGTCTGAAAAACATATCTTGTAGCAGACTTTTAACGTGAAAACGTTGATGGTTCTCGTCGCCCGATTGGCGATTTCGAGTGACGCCGAAAAATGTATTTTGTAACGATTGTTTCGTGGTTAACGGATAAAAAAATAACGAAACAAAAGAGTAAAAGACCGGAGCGGAGCGAGCCGCTTGGCAACATCGCGGACCGTCACTGCCGCCGCCGCACCGAAAACCGGTCTTCGGTCGTTACAGGTGTGGTGCGCGTCACGATGGACAGGTACCAACGACAGTGGGGGCGCAGAAAGCGAACGGATGCGGCGGTGGCGGCGGCGGTGGTGGTGGAGTAATTGTTGGCGGTGGTTGTGGTGGTGAGGCGGTGCGCAACAGTAACGACAACGTCGACTCGGGAAAAAGGTGAGTCACTCGGCCGCGTCGCGTGTGTGTATACCTGCGCAGGTTGCCCGGTGAGCGGCGGCGGAACACCCGCTGCCGGTGGGGGAGTACCGAGTGTAGCGGCCGTGGTGTGTATACACACGCGAAAACATTCCTCTACAACTGCTACGCCGCTGTCGCTGCCGCTCGTATCGCACGACGATATAATATTAATAATAATATTATGGTTCGGCGGGCCTTTGGCGGGTTCCATCCGACTACAGATTACCTCCACGGCACCGCGGTTCCGCAGCCGCCGTCATTGACCAGAGCAGCAGTAGGACGTTAGGTGAGCAAATCCACGATAATATTATTGTAAATTTTTTTGTTGTAACGATTTCGCGACGCGGCTAAACCGGTTGGTCGGCTGTGGCGGCGGCTGAGGTACGGTCGGAGCGCGCCAAAAGCGTTGGTTCCCGCCAGCAGCCGTCGTCGGTTCGGCAGTCGGCACTCGGCCGCGCACGACTTCCGACCTCCAGCGACGATCGCGACGACAACGATACGATTTTTGTACCAACCCATCTTTAATACTCGTGATACGATCACCGTTGTTTCATCACATTATCGGACTTACAGTGATTTTCCGATTTCAGTAGGTAGTCAGTCGTCATGGCGGGCTTGTCGCTTAGGAAGCCGTGTGGCGAGAAGGAGTGCCCCGAGTACCACATGTGCCAGGCCCACGATCTCCAGTGCTACCCGTGCCATTCGTACTGCAACGAGACTTCGCACAACTTTGACATCAAAATATGCCAACAACAGTGTCAAGGTATGTATCATCTAGGTATATAGAGCCCTATAATTTGATCTCGTTCATTAGACTTACTCGTCGTTTTTTTACGTGGGAGCTACTCACATACGTGGTATTTATTTTAAAAAAGTGTACTATTTTCTTCGAATCTTCAATTTTCGAATGCAACTGTTGAACTGTTACGTATTACATAATGATAGGTACGAGAGTTTCTGACCGTATACCTAATCTACCTACGACTAATATGAGTATACCTAAATTTTACGTTCCCAATACCCGTTAATGCTATTGTTAAACCATTTTATCCTCAGCTATAATGGAAAATTGAGCGTATTAAAAGAATTTACTCAATGAATAGGAAATTCATATAATCGAGGACTTCTAATGTATATAATATGTACCAAACTTCAAGTTTTTTTAGTAAATATTTATTAGGAAAATATCATTATATTGCAATACCTTCATCTTTATAAATCCAAGACCAATAACAACTTAGATAATTACTATTATATATGCTTTATAATATTATATTATACATAATACAATATGAATTATAAATTGCTGCGTTATAGTGTTGTTAAACTTACTGTTATGTATTATTATAATTATTCGCTGGCCGACCGCAGCAGTCGTTTCTGCGAGCGAGGTCAACCGCCAAACGTCGCGTTCTTTCTCGGAGAAGGAACAAATTAAAAACCCACTTGCGACGAATAGACGATGGCGCGCGCGAGGGGAGGACCTTATTTCTTTCGCACCGACTTTCTACTCAGGAACATCGTCTATAATATTCGCCGTATTTAACCACACGCATGTGTAACATTACTTTCAACAACTACCTCGTTTCTGCGAATATTCATTAGTCCTGCGGTCGACCCCGTCAATATACAGCACGACGCTTTCTATGTACTTTTAGGTACCTGGATTACTGTATATTATAATCATAATATTATATTCCGTTTATGCACCATGAGATATTATGTTTATTGTACATACGGTTTATACTGTTCCTCACAAGATTTGTTGGGCGCGCTTTCAAATGTCTCTCTTCAATATACATTGTCAAATCGTTCCGTCTTGTACCATATATTCTGTACACATAATTTTTATTTTCTAAAAGTTGTTTTAGTGATATGCGTATACGACGTATAGGTACGAGCCGATCTAGTCAACAACGCGTGTATAGGGCCCGATGATAATGACGATGTACGTGATCGCGGTGTAAATAAAAATTGAAAACAACACATTCTTTAAACGATGGTCCGTTTAAGACGGGTTAAGGTTTTTTGTTACCAACGAGTCCTGCTCGTGTTGAAACGGTCTCCTTTCTATTATATAATAATAGTATATATAATATTTGAACACAGGTAGAAGACAATAAGCGGCCATATTCGTTTGATGACCATAGTATTACCTGCAAGTATTCGTATACGCGAACGATTGTAATGACACACGCGCTGTAAACTCATATTTTAAATTGTTATTAAATTAAAACCGTATAATAATACGAGCAAATAAACAAAAAATAGAAATAACAATCCCGAGTCCGGATTCTGTGCGTAAATCAGTACTAGTATATGTATAGTATGAGTATGTATGACGCAGACCTCGCACCATGCAGTCATATATTATACAGGTGTACCTATTATACTATGATAATAATATATATATATATATTTATTTAGTAGCGAAGCGAAATTGGTCGGTGGTCCCGCTTTGTTATAGAGTTTTGTTGTTTTTTCTTCGATGTCCTTGGAATACGATTCGAGGGGAACAATCCCGAGAAGAATTCGGTACCTACCTCTGCAGTATTGTTATTTGTTGTCTGTTGGGTAATAAATAATGATTTATGGCACCTGCGGCTGTATACAGTGTTCTAGGTCCAACTCAATCTTAAAATGCCCCCGCAACTGTATACATATATTATATAGTCAGTATATGGAGAGGAGCGCTCTCATATATCAAAAACTCTTTGGTAGGATACCGAGGTAACCCATCGTCGCACGCTTGGAATTAACTCAATACCATTGTAGACACCGTGAAAAAATTCAACCCGTTTTTCGGGTATGATGACTCCGCCGCGCCTGTTGAATCGATAATACGAGTATGTCGTCATAAAGACTCGAAATTTTCTGTGCAGAGATTATTAATTTTCGTTTTCATTACCCCGATCGTGGTCAAAGCGGCATAATATTATGTTTTTAATTTGTTGTCCGTTCTGTTTTTTGTTTTATTTTGTTTTATTTTTATTTTGAACGACATTATATTATATTATACCTAGGTGCCTTTGTAATATCATCAATAAATAATAGTATAATGTGTCTGCTCAACTAGAATTAATTTTCGTCAATACGATTATTGTAACTGCACTCCTATTTTATGCGCCATTTATTTATTTGGGTTATAAGTTTATAACGTATATGATTTTAAAAACATGGTGGTGGTCTTTTATCCTTTCGTGCATTATGGTTCTATATACTTTATGTCGTGTGTCTGTGTGCGTAGTATGACTTATATTTTATGGAATATTCTGACCATTAGCCAAGGCACTAACCACTACACACTTTCCCCACAACCCAATACCCATACACAATAATCATCGAAGGTGTGTGTATTTTTTTTTTTGCAACAAAATTGTTTTTAAGTGTATTTCGTCTATAATATATGTGATACATATATAGTATAGTAACGCATTTTATAAACGGTAATAAATATGTTTCATCGTGAACTCCTTCGTCGCAAAATATAACGAAGTTTTTATATTTCAGTCATTTTCGTAGAATTGTTTTTAAGTGAGGGTTCGTACTAAAAAAGTCACTGCCGTCTGCGGTGAATTAAAACTAAAAGATAAACTGCATACTATATTATTTAATTCATACACCCTGTAGGCAAACACATGCAGATTAAATTTTAAATATTTTATATAAATCTATTTACAAACAAAGTAAAAAGCAATTAAAAAAATTAATATTATTAAAGAAGAAATAAAAATTATTCAATTATTGACTATTACAATAATTTAAAATATTGTTTATTGGGCTATTTAGGACAACATTTTGTTCAAACATTTGACTGCGTAGAAAGTATTATTGGTACGTGTGTTCGCAGGTGCAGTATAAAATTTAATCTTATACAATAATTCAGGACACGACAGAATGCTATAGCTTTATAAAAGGAAAACATTTTTTGAAACTAAATATAAATAAAGTTTTCTTGTCAACGAGAGAAACTAAAAGAATAAAGAAAAATGTTAAGATTAGCGGTGATATGCACTAAAAAAATGTAATATTATATTAATTTCAATTATAAAATTGTAATAATTATTAAAGGTTTTCAGTATTAGAATATGTATTTTACACTATTCTATGTATATTTTTTAAATATGGTGTACCGTGTACCTACGTCCTACGTCCGTTTTGAGTCATGCAATATTTTTCACTCCGATTCTGCGAACCGTGAATTCACTACTACATAATTGTTTTCGGATGTTCGTGATAATTTTCACAAAGAACTCTAGATATACAACTTTAGACGACATCAATAATTAATTCATTATATTCATTACCATAAATCAAAACAACAAGTTTCATAAACTATTATAAAATATGCATTATTATATACTCTTAAACCAAATAAAAGGTTATTTTTTTGCAGTATAATGAAAAATATAAATCTTGTTTTATAGTTAGTTAATTTATTGTTTTCAATAAACCTACCAACAAATAACTGAAATTTGAAATAACTAATAAGTTTTAATTTTGTACACAATTAATAATATTATCTAAAATTATCACCATGATTTATCTATATGACTAATATGTAATATACAACATAACCCCATTAGCCCCACGTTGAGAATATCGTATTTGTTATACTTATACTTGTAAATTATGACATGTAACACGACTCGAGTAAAAAATAATATTTACAGATATGAGGTAAAAAATAAAGCCTATGCTTATCAAATAAATTAAAGTCATGTAGGTATAGGTACACATACCGGAAACTAGATTTTTCTAGTATTACTCGCATACTGATATCAGCTACCCAGTAAGAAAAGAATTTGAACGTTTCTCGAAATCCGTTGCCGATTAAAAAATGTAATATATATCGTTTATCTGTGATGACGAAACGTGTTTTCCTTTACTACCTATGAATAATGATAATGCTCTATCGACGGAAGAAAACACGTAATTTTCATGACATTTCACTACTCGGATCGACTGCATTCTTATGATTTTGGACTGACCAAATCGTATATTTTGACATTTTTTCGACCAAATTATCAGATATATTTTATTATATTATCTTAATTCATTATTTCGCGACTGCGTCAATCAAACATTTTGTCAACTTTAACACAATCTACATGTATACACCGCTATTCTTCTTTTATGGTTCCGACGTCTAAATTATTTAGTCACAACACGTGTACAGCTGCATGTTATTACCATATTGTATAAAGTTGTTACGAGTTGATTCATTGTGTCCGAAATTATAAAAAAAATTTTTACACAGCTTTGTTGTGCATAGCTCATGTGATCTAGCCCTATAGGTACTTTCACATATAATACAACATTTTTATATATATTTTTATATATTTTTATATAACCCTTTTATAGGCCGTGTACAAGCTAAATATGTAAATTTGAAACTGGATAAAACCTGGTGGGGATTATAATAGGAAAATGATACCCAAATTTAAGTAATAACTTATAAAAATATATTAAAATGATTATAACAATATTGATAATATTTAAAGGAAATAACCGGAATTATTTGTATTACGAATTTACTCACGTTTTGTCAAATTTCGCAGGTCGTGTCAGGCATCAGGCTGTCCGTATAGACGGCATATTATATCTGATATCATAGGTATCTAGACATTATATATCATAACTATATGTATACAGCGTCGGTGTGTTTTTTTATTTTGGACGATACAAGAAAGAAAAAACCCACCCCGTTAGGTCTACTATATGCTTTAATTTATTCCCCCGCCTGATTCCATCACAATGCCGTCTTCCTATATAATACACTTGCGGTACATGTCCAGTTATTCAGGCTGTGACTCGTGACCGTTGTCGTACGAGTATAATCATGTCTGTACAATTTCAGGTAGTTGACCCATACCTGTATGAAATAGTTGACGTACTGTGTTTATCGTACATGGATATCCGAAGTGATGATGTCTTCGTGTATATATACTTATGTGTAGGGAAATCAATCGGGTCGACTGTTAGTAAGTCGTGATGCCATGTATTATACACATACCGCATATTATAATATACTGGAGAAAGGGTGTTGCTGGGGCAACTATAAGCTCTAAATCGGCCAAACAAACGCAAGCACATATAGACACAAAGCAGTATAGAATATTTCATTCAGAAGTTTGAAACGTCTGTGCGGTCTTAGGATTTATCATAATTTCGTGTTTTTTAAGAATATGTGTTCTATATGTTCCTACTTACCCTTACACCTACTGCCGTAGCAGAACGTGCTTTATCAAATTCATTTTATCGTCTGTAGGTATATATATATATATATATTATTATGTTTTAAGTACGTGTTTTTTTTCACTCCGCGTCTGAGCACGTTATTAACTCGACCGTATACGTCACACATATTATATATTATGATGTAGGTATACCGCACGTTTAGTAACTTTTGTGCACGCCACTTCTGTATTGAGCACCATCATTCTTCCTATAACATCATACTATATTATGTCTCTATGTAATATATTATATATTTAGACTATATAACGTTACTAATTGCCGTGTATGTATACCAAAAGTTTGTAGGTATCAGAATAGATGAGTGATGACTTATATTACATACTATTACCTATTGTAGTATTTCTCATAACACACGATGCTTAAAATATTATCATAATATTATTAAGTCGGATTTTGGGCGGGCGGATGGTATAATGCTGGTCGTGGCGAAATCTGACACTCGTACCCGGAATACGCGAGTACCCGCGGCGCAGAGGACATGTCCAATAATAATAATAATTGTAAATTCTGCAAGATAATTGAATTTTTCTTATATAATGATGTCTCTATCATTACGACACTCTCGTCTGTCCCGGGGAGGGGGGAAATAGGCGCGTAAAATGAAATACTTTGTTTTGAATATAGGACGACTGCTCAGACGACGATTCGCAGTCGTCCGTATAAATGTGATTTATTCGACAGGCAACCGTATATTAATTTATCGTTTTTGAATTTTTTTTGTGCAGATTACATACATGACTACGTGAAGCATTACGTCAAGGATAGTAACATCCAAGGTAAGCGACTGCCTATACAGTTATAAATTTATGATAAACGCAGTTATAATTTAGCGTTTATACAAATCGTTTTCGAATATAATTAATAACAAAATGCAAATTGGTTTCCGATACGCGTGCAGATGTGCTACAAGAGTTGGAGACCCTGAAATCGTTGATAATTTGGTTGACGTTGCTGGTGGTCGTAGCAATCGTCCTAATGTCCGTCATGTTGGTGTTCATATGGAAACGCGAGAGGAAGATACCGAAGCTCAAGAGCGGAGCGAAAGATTCATATTTCAAAAAAAAATTGGCTTTCTTAAAGGTAAAGCGAAATACAATAGAATTTATTACGTACTATATTTTATATAGGTACCGTGAAAAAAATTAACGTGTAGGTAGGTACTAGGACACTAGGTAGATAGGTATATGGAGAAGTGAGAATACCTATACGTGATGAAGTAAAAAAACCATCTTTATTGTCTCCCATTATTTTCCCTCTGAAATATAATATATACCAACACGCTCGAGGAGGGTGTGTCGTGTTGTTATTATTCTATATTTCTCTGCACCGCATATAATAGGAATGTTTTTCATTCTGTCCGGTGCAGGTAATACTACGTGTTTCAAAATACATATGTGTTTGGCTGGGAGACGTGACGTTCACATCATTATACCTGCACAGAGAGGAGGCATATATCGTTGTAATTATATATACATTCGAACATTTCGAACCTATATACGTATTATATATTATGAAGTATCACGAAGTGCATGCATATACAGCAGGTGTTATGTGTTGCAGTAATCGTGTTTTTATGGTCTTTTGTAACGCATATCTGGATAATATGCCTCTGTAGGTATATAGCTTCCGTTCCTCTCTCGGAATGGGACCTATATAGGACTTCTCCCGATAATGGGTGGTCGTTAAATCGCAATTATTGTAGTTTCACGGCGGCGTATTTTTTAATGCTTCAAACGACGAATCGATCGAAGAAAAATGAAACTTCTCGAAAAATAATATTACAATTAAGTAGAATTCCAGTTTTGCCTTGAGGCGAATGTAGCACCACAGCGCAATATCGTCGTCGACGACAATAGCAAAAAATAACGAACAATATAATATAATGCCATCAAAATCGTGCGCGTATTACGATTTACGGGTACGAGTAAAATAATAATAGGTAACTGTAATATTAATAACGATTACAAGGTTTTATGCATTTCAATGCAGGAATACAATATTAGTCATATTATAATATTACCTATAAGAAATTATAAAATGTCGTGTTCGGTTACATACAATATGACGTCTTAGTCTTAGAGATTAGAAGGACGCGATCGGAAATGTAATAGAATTTTAATGTTGTACACAGTATAGTTATCAAAAATCACGTCTCGTTCTCTCAACAATTTATACATATTATTTATTTTAGCCGTCAATCGAATCTCGTCGTTACACTTCAATATACGAACAGTTTTTAAAAACATATTATTATACCTATATTAGTAATATATTATATACGTTAGTACTTAGTGCAACAATAACGATGAAAATATCGTTGAACCTATCTCGGCCAAAACTATTTAATAAACATCATCAAACATATTTTATAACATATTATGTGTCAACGTACACATAATATGTTTCACTTAAATAATGATATATTATTGTATTGATGCTCTCGTATCGGGATGTTTACGGTTATTATTGAGTTGTGTTTGCAATATAATACGTCGTTTCGATGAACAAAAAAAGCCAATGTAACGTATAATATTTACACATTGCGTATAGTATATGTATAATGATAATAATAATAATATTTCGAAACGCTTGCAGTTGTATAGGTATGGGAATGGGAATATAAAATGTAATTCATTAATATGTATGTCATACGTATATATATTATTATATGTAATGTGTGTACAAACTGTAGAATGCCCAGAGTCGTAGGCGGTGTTTTTTCAGTCTGCGAAATATTTAGCCGTAGAAATCATTTCTATATAGATCCGTTCGGATGAAAAAACTATATACTGCTCGTCGCCTCCCGTGTACAATTAAATTGCATTATATATAATATTATATTGTAATACATTGAAAGCTCTTACTCGATAAACAGTTCTGTATACAATAATTATTATCAAATAATATTTGCCTTTCTCAGCATATAGATTTCACCCAAACATTCGATTCCAACTGATCCACACGTGCCCTAATACAAATGTATCGAAATTATCTTGAAATGCTTTCGATTAATATGAGCCATGAGGTTCCATATTTGAAGCAGTATACACCGATTTTTATAAGGCTTCGGACAAAGTCAAGTCAACTAACAACCGTAAAAACCAACAAAGGCATACAAATAATATACTATGCACATTTCTGTATAAACAATAAATTAAAATCTTTCGGTATTTGTGGAATTGTTTTGGTTATACTCTCTTAACTTCACCCAATCACTAAGAGCATAACAGCATCAACTGTTCCGGATGGTATTATCTGTATTCTGATGACTTTGAAATCCAAAAATTTAGGTTTGTTATGTGGAGTGAAAAACCTAGTTCTAAAAATCTTCACTGTCTTAGATATGAATAATATGTATAATTTCTCGTCAAGTCGTGAGTTTTAAAATATATATTTATTCAAAATTAAGAAATGGCCAATCGGTAAACCTATATTTAAATACCATTTATATTTTCCTCGTACCTCAATAATCATTATCCTGTACTCGAATGTATTCTAATAACGGCCGTTTGTGTCTTTGTCGCATGCGCAGTTCAGGAACAACACGGTTAACACGGTGAGTGAGACGGTGGACAACAAGCCGTGGACGGTGACGGCGGCGGCGACCACTATGATGGCCGCGCACACGACGGACGCCCCGAAGACGTCGTCGGCAAGCTCGTCGTCCGGCCACCGGACCAGCCGCACGACCGTCTCGTCGTCGTCCACGTCATCGACCGACAAGCTGCCCTGCGAGGACGCCACGCTCGTGACGCAGGAGTTCACCGGCTACGACAACCTGGGGCTGTGCAAAGTGTCGCCCGTGCTGAGCAAACCGACGGCCACGATGAAGATGTACGGCGCGACCGACGTGGACCTGCTCCACCGGTACTCCCCCTAGCCGAGCCAGAGTTTCGGCCAACCGTAAGTCGCCGTGGCCGATACGACGTGTCGGATTGGGATATTATGTGTTTGACGGGTGGCGGATGCACACGAACGGAAAGACCGCCCGAATGATGGAGTGAGGCGGCCACCCGAAGGAACAAAACGCCGCTGAGTATACTACCCATATCAATATTATACCAGCCAAGGTGTGTAGACAATATTATCTATTATAATGTTATTATAGGTATTATAGATTATATTAATATAGATGATATTATAAATAATACTATAAAGTCTATATTAGATATTATTATCTACCATCTTTGACTTCCGGCTAACTAGTTGTTGCGTGTTGTTTTACACCGTGTCTCCCGTAAACACGACGAATACGACGAGTGCGAACGATTTCTATTCTGACCATTCGGTTCGAAATGCGATGAAATACAAGCCGTTTGGTTCTCATTCGTTGTGTTTACGCGTGCAGGATACGGCATCAATCCGCATTACACGTACGATATTTCGGTGTACGGTTCCACGGAAACTGATCTGAGAAACGTGACTTATATATTGTACTTGATAATATTTAGAGATTTATTTTGATTTTGCTCACATAAATGCATTTTTTTTAGAGATAGAGAGAGAGAGAAATGTAGCGTTTAGACCTTTGTGAGTGATATGTTTAGTAGTTTGAAAGATTCCGAAAACCGTTCCGAGAACGTTATAGAGGTAGTCTAGTTGGATAATGTCAATTTTGAAAATCTCGTTGTATATACAATATTTTTATCTCGATATAAAGTGTTGGGAAAATCATCTCACACATTATATATATAACGCGTTAATTGTAGTTTTTCATTTTTTTGTGTTTAATATTCGTTCAACTGTTATATTATTATGTTTTTTAAACGAACTGCGCACAGTATTATCGACGACGCGCGTATCGCGGTCCAAGTACTTAAATCTCGTTCTCGTTATTGTTATTGTTTTTTCCTTTCTTTAATAATGTAGGAGGTAGATATAAGTATTTTATTTTGTAACCATTATATACATTCTATTATATGACTTTGTTGTAGATAGTTATGAGTAAGGGTAATCGGTAGTGTTTTATGTATATGTACATATTATGTACGAGTTAAGAGCGTGGTATACGCGATTAGTGTATAAGTTAGATTTAGCGAGCTATGAAGAGGATGAAATAAACCTTTGATCAGTGAACCCCGTCCAATAAACTTTAACAGTTTTTAGATAATTTTACGCCGCTCTCGTCCATGTCTATACATGCGTATAGACACGCTGTCGGCGTAAAGTTGTAGGTTGTCGTCAAACGCCGTTCGTTTGACATTGTACATAAATATCATATTCTTAAAACCTTTTTTTTATATTATTGTATAAAATGTTTTTTGTTTATTATATAAATTTTTTTTTTACATATTTTATAAAATAATACCTATATTTCGTGTTGTACAGTATAGAATATAATGCCTAAGGCATACTCATGTTATAGAACGTTTAATTGTTGTTTAGACTTTGTGAGATTTTGAATATAATATATACGTAAAAGTTTAGATTCCACAACACAAATAACGCACATTATTGAAATGTAATTAGATAGGTATATTAAATATTAATTAAAATTTATAACATTACCTGTATTAGTATTACAATACATATTTTAGTAGGTACCTAGTTAAGTTAGTATTTTATGGTAGACACATCATATAAACCTACATAGGTACTACTTTATAATATAACCGAGACAATCATATCATATTACTTAAGTAGGTATATTATTATTATTAGGAGTGGATATTATATTATTATCAGTACGCCGTCGTCGTACCTAGATACCTATATTAAATAGGTACTATATTACCACATATTTGAATAATGTTAGATTGTAGAAACAAATTTTATTACAATGTATTAATATATATATATATTAGTGTTTATAAAAGATAGGCCCAATATATTATAAAATATTTGTAACGTCGTTGTGGATTTACAACTGTTTATGATTATCATGAAAAGTGTATCGAAAAGCAATAATTAGATGTAAGCATATTCTGTAGGCACCTATACGTGTTACGTATTTTTTGTAATTTTTTTTTTATAACGGCACCCCAGTCAAAGGCTCGGTGTCTATTTGTATTTTTTACATGTCATATTATTTATAAATGAATATAAATATATATAATATTCAAATAATATAAATGTATTGCTGTATTCCTACAGAACAATCTGCTCCTATTTATTTCATTTTTGTACTAAAAAAATAATCAAGCGACGAGAAAAAAATTATATTGTGATGCATATTTATAAATAAGATTTATTTTATTATAATTATCATTATTTTCTCCACTTTTTTTGTATTCGACTCAGAAGAGTGATTCATGTCTGAATTTGCAGTATTTTCCCAGGGAAAACGCCGAGAAAAAGAATCGTAAAGAAATTTCTCTTTTTCAAAAACCTCAAACTGTTGTCATCATAGTGTTTAAGGATTATACCACCTAGTTATAGTTGCATGGGCATCAATGAAAAACATGATTAACTATAAACAAATGTATCAATAATCAATGTGTAATTTGGACATTGCACACTTTCATTTTTAAATCTAACATTCAAATCTTTGTTTTTTTTTATATCTGCTTTATTCAAAAGTATAGTTAATGTCCAAGTAGTCCAGCGTTCACGTTTTCATACTATAGTGCCATCTTTATTGAGTAAATGAAGGGTGGTACTGCAAAACGTGTTAATGCCAAAAACTGTATTTTTCAGGAAAGTAGATTTAAGGTTTTCTTTTACTAGATATTAAATATTCAATCTATTGTTTTAAAAATTGAACTGCTATATAATGTATAATGCATATTATAAGTTCTAATTATCAAAAGTAACATTTTACTTTTAATTAATATAATAAATCTAATAGCAAAATTGAGTAGTATATCAAAACGTGCTATTTCCGTAAATAACACGTTTTGATGTGAAAAATGGATTTAGCACATTTTGTAAAAAAAGAAAACATTTTTATCAAAACGTACTATCTTCTACATCAAAATTTAAAAGACGTTCATAATAAATTTTTATTATTCAAAAATGTTCTTAAAATAGTACCTAGAGTTTGATATTATTAGAATATACCTATATATTATAATGTAACTAAGGGGAGAGAGATAAGAGCTATCCTTACATAAATAATTCTAATATTCTAGTATGATATAAAAACAAACATTTTTGTATAATAAAATTTTGTTTACCCTTAAGCATACAATTTCATTTTTCAATAAAAAACTTAAATCTGTATAATATAATTATAGACATAAAAAACTTAAATCTGTATAATAATAATAGAAATAAAAATGATTTAGTAAATGTTTAGTACAATGAATCCTCTAAATAGTTTGCAGCACCATCTTCGTTAATTTCTTCATCTGCAACTTCTCTTTCATCAACATTAACGAATATATCATTATAAAAACCAATGGCATCAATAGGAACATTAAAAAATTTCATTAATTTACGTACATCATCTTGTTTGGGTTGTTTTACATGATTACATTTATCCAGAATAGACAATGTACTAATAGATTCTATTTTGGAATTTCTTTTTAATACCTTAATATAGTTTTCATATTCTCCTGTATAATTTGTTGATACACCGACAGTTTTTTTATTTTTTTCATATAATAACCTTTTTTGCTCAGTCATTTTAAGATTTAATAAATTTTATTATGAAATATGAATATCTAAATATGAACATTTTAATGTTATTTAATAAAATAGGTATGTCTTACTTGTCTAACAGCATCACACATTTTGTGTGCCCTTTTCATGTTGAATCACAGTATTATGTAGGATATAACAAAATATAATGATTATTGTATACAATTAATGAGTAGGTAATGACAAATAAGTAATATTAACTTGGGATAGTAAAATATACACAATCAGTTTATCAGTCACAGTGACATTTTCAAATGGATATCATAACAAACAAAACTTATTTATAGAATTATGGTTACTGTTATCGTCTTAGACAACTTGTTTACTTATCAAATAATGTAATCAAAACGTATGGAAAGAAAACTAAAATTATTGATATCAAAGAAACTACAATATAGTTTAAAAAAAAGTATTTCTGTAGATACTTGGAAATAGTACGTTAAGAGAAAAAAATAAAATGATAGCTTGTATAGTAAACGCTATGGGTAATAACACATAATGAATAAAAAGTGGAATTAGCACGTTCTGTAATAATTATGGCAATAGTACATTTTGAAAAATAACAAAAGTGGGTCTCATATGAATTGCATTGAATTTAGCACATTTTGCATTAAAATTGGAAGTACCACATTTTGAGATAAAACCACTATGGAAATAACACGTTTTGATCTAAAAACCCTTTTTTTAAATGAGCGTATCAAATAAAATATTGATGTTAGGAACGAAACGATGGCACCATTCGATTTCCCGCCATTTTTACAATAAGAAAAGACTATAACATCGATTTTGTTAAAAATGGCATTAACACGTTTTGCAGTACCACCCTTCATTAATTATTACATCATATACTCATGCAAATATCCGATACAGTATGTCAAATAGTCATTTATAATATAATCATAGGCATGTGCGCACACTCTTGGTTTTGGGGGCACATTAAAAATTAGGGCCCACAACGATTTTGAAAGCCATTAGTGGCAGGCTAATTTTTTAAATATAAATAAAAATAAATAAATATATTTAAACACATTACAAATTAATTTATGTTTGAATTGTTAATTTAAGCCAACCAATTTATTGGGGGGGGTTTTTTTTTTAAATTAGGGAATCGGGTAAACAGTCTGGGGATGGCTGGGCGTCCCTAGTGGGCATGCCTATTATTACAATAGTAATTAAAATCGGCCAATAAAACTTTTGTCGTAAGACTTAATCAGTATGATAATATCATCTTGGACATTGGACAGCCATGGTGAATGGGCATACTATTCTCCAGGAGATGCTGAGTAGCTGAGCAGCCCAGGCAGTGATGCAATGAGAATAGTAACTAGTAAGTATGAAAAATTATACTTCTGCAGTTTTGTTTCTTCTAATACTAATCAAAGTTAAATAATACATTGTGTTCAAAAATCATATAATATATCATATTATTCAATTATTGTACTAAGTTAAAATTATAAATCTATTTTTTTTTTAAGAAATGTACAAAGTACAATGTTAAATCATATGAAATTAAGGTTTGTAAATTGTATCTGAAGTTTTCCAAAATATTTTAACTTCTAGAAAATGTAAGTGGCATCTGAAATAAGCCAGTGCTAATAGATTTAAGTGCAGTTGAATAAATAATGCACAAAAACACGTTGGTGATGAACAAATAAAATGTCAAATTTAAATCTATTCAAGGCATGCACATCGTTCACTAAATGCTACCATTGGTATGGAAGATTGTTTCTATTCTTCTGTTATGCTTTTGCTGTTTTAGATTTAGTTAATTTAATTAAACTACAGTAGAAATTAAATAACCTAATTAATAAATATCTTTTTATTTAAAACTTAAACCAATAACATACTAAAACAATTCAAGTAAAATATAAATTCAACATTTTATACAGATCTAACGATTCAAGTTTGTACAAAAACAAGTAATTCAAAGGCTTTATTATAAACATTAAGTACTGGCGAGTTGTATGATCACTATAAAATTTAATGAACCAATAGTGAGCTAATAGTCTCTTGAAGATGATTAAGGGGCCCATGACACTGGTCCATTCAATATTTTTTAACCATAAAATTAATAATTTTTTCATGCAACCCGACATTAGACTTTTTTTGATCGGGAGAAATTTTATTTTGGTGGAATAGGTGTATCACAATTTCCATGGTATAAATGCACTTTCTCTGTACACCTTGCAAATGAGTCAAATGTATCTGCATAGCCATGTAGCTTCCACCATGTGCATAGTTGGCGATTCCATCCACACGACAAACGGTATATTAACTCTGGGTGTTCATAACTTACCAGAGTATACCAGTCTTGATCACCCAAATGTCCCTAAAAATTATAAAAACAATCAAAAATCAATTATTTACCAAAGACCAAAGGTGACAGATGTGTATGCTTACTTTGAATAGATACTTTTGAACAACACTAGAAATCCATTCAGGACTGATAAGTCTATCGTATTCAGCACTTTTTCTTATTCGCTCCAAATATGACAATAAAACACCACTGTTCAGGCCATTGAAGTTTGTGTGTTGCTGAGTTTTGTACTTCTCACCTTTATAGTTTCTCCATTTCCACAGAATATGATGGTAGACAGGGGAAAGTTCTGGGGCTAAACCAAACAGTTGTGTGTTGGTGAAACTAAAATAACAATGATATTCATTATTTTCAGTATTTTTAAAAGCATTTCTAGCTCTGTTTACTTGTCAAACACATTGTAAAGGTCACAAATGGTAGATTGAAATGCTGTATCAACGTCAACCACAATAGCTTTGTCTAAAGAATTAGGGGCGACTAGATGAAGTGCTGGTGATAGATAAAAAACATCATCACTGTAGTAAGATCCTTTTGATGATTGAAAAAATCGTTTCAATGGTTCGATTTTGCTCTCAACTATTTTCAGAACGTCTTGAAAATCATAATGAACTAGCTGCAATTCATCATACACACACAAATTAACAGAATTTTCAATCAAAACTATATTTAAAATGTATACTTACAGTCAGTAGAGTCTCTTTATATCGTTTGGTAAATTCGTATATTACACTATCCACTGTCGGACGGCTGGCGTTATCGGTTATTACATTTAATTCAAAAATGGCACGACACTTGCCACGATGACTGATTAGGGACTTGAAGAACTTACGGAACTTTGTCAACAAGTGACCACGATCGATTTTTGTCACCGATATCCATATGCTAACCTTCGACTCGGTCTTGTTATCCGGTAGTGTAGTCGCCACATGGCTCGAAGACAATATTTTTGATTTTAAATTGACAGCAGTCTTTGGGTTGGAGTACAGAATCACTAGTATAGTGAATATCGTTATAGCTATAATCAACTTGGCATAGATGCGCATTAATACCACAGGTGCATTGCAATTTCCTATGTCAGTGGTACGATTTCTACGAAGAGTGAAGTCTTCACGTCACTTAAGTCAACCGGAAAGTAACCTTACCATGAGTGCAACAAGTTTAAAATGTGCATAACAAAATAAGAATAACAGCATAACACAGCGTCGTGGCATTAAAATTTGAATTTTTTAATTTACTACCTATCTACTTACTTAATATTTATTTACACTTTACAGCGTAATGAGTATTGTCGTATTATCACTTATAAGTATTATCAACATCCAAAGTTCAAACATCAGCAGCTGTAGACACCACAGATATATACAATTAATTTACAGTTCATTGTATTTATTCATGGTTGTCATTGGTTGAAATCACAATAGATTACAGTCTACCGAGGTTGAAATATATATAATATATTATACCTATGTAAATGTCAACATATATATAAACTATATATATTTGGTAGACATCATAGACCTTTAAAGATCTATTTATTTATAGATTTATGATTCACAGATTAAAATGTTAGTCCGTTGCTGTAACCTTTTTTGGTGACTTGACTAAAAAGTTTTTCTGCTAGTTTGTAGTATTTTGTACTTATAGTATCATAGAGTAAGAATATAGTTTTGTACCTACCTAACTACCTTGTTTCTTTGTTCTCGAGTCAAATGGGTTACGAAATATGACTTACAGTAAATCGTAGGTTTGAGAATGTTAAAATAATAATTGTTTTGAACGATCCCAGAAAGTAAAATCTGTTCAAATATTGTTATGTCTTATGTGGTAAATAGTTTATAAAAAACAAATATTACAACGACACTCGTTTATTAAAGATTTATCCAAATGATAGGTACCAGAATGGAAATTATGAATGAATTATGTAATTTATCAGTACAGATATTTGAGATATTATTTGTCATCAAGATATTTGTTTAAACAATAATATTAAACAGTACTCACACAGTCACACCCCACGTAAAACCATCCGATGGCCGTTACGCCCGTATGTGTTGTCTTACAAATGTTATAAGTTAGCAAATACTGTTTTGAGCGGTTAGAAACCAAGAAAATTAGCTTTACAAAGAAACGAAATTTTCACCAAATAAAAAGGAGAACTTTGGCTGTGAAATATCGTTTTAATTTTAACTACAAAAAAAATTGTTGAAGTTTGAAAAACACACAAATAATGGGTTTTCAAACAATAGGAACTTTTTTCGTATAGGTGATATTATAAAAAGCCGCTCTCTGATAAGTTCACTTCTTGAGTTTAAGAATCATTTTGTATTGAATGCAAAAAAAAATTAAAGTGGATAAATGTTTACAAAAAATCGCAACTGTATATGAGCAAACTGTTTAATATGAAGTAAGCAAATGCCTTGGCCAACACATTTACATTGTAGCTGAAACAGTGTGTCAATATTTATTGATATGTCTTTGTATCTAACAAATAACAATAACTGCCTTTATTATTTATGTAACTGTTAATGCGTTTAAAAAAAACTTTAGACTTTGATCATTTTTTGAATCTAAAGCCAACGCGTTTATGATACACATACTTCAAAACTCAAGTCCATTTTATTTATTTGTAATAAAATGTTTCAAATCAAGAATTTGTTTTGATAGGCGCAAATCATACTGAAAAATAATAAATAGAGCTATTTTATTTCAAATAGTATAAAATACTTGAATAGTTGAATGTAAAAACCAATAAAGACATATTGGGTACAATATATTTGCACTATTACAATCAAATGTGTTCATTTTTTTTTTTGGTTTCACCAACAGAAAAAATAAATAACCTCAAATCTCATTACAAATATATAATTTATTTTACTTATCATCTAAATACAGAAAATACTATATTTTTAGTCTTAAAATAACATAAAAAGTGTCACTAAAGGGACAAACTAGAGGGGAGGGGAGTCATGACACCTCCATATTCAGCTGCAATATTAAATTTTTAATCAACATATGTAAATTAGTTCAGACATTTAAAAATTTACATTTCTAAATCTAGTTGGTCATTTTAAAGACTACTACAATGCTTCCCATCATAAATTTTTTTTTAAATCATCCCTGACAAAGAAGTATGAAAGTTCTAATATTCGATAATTATTTTTAATCATTAAAAAAACATTAAAATAAAATATAGCTTTGTTTATTCAGTTCATTGATTTCTGCGTACAAAACCAAGTTTGGTTATGGTACACATTGATTACAAAACTCTTATTTAGAATTGGCAAAACCAACTCTGTTGTTTTCTAGATCAAATTCGGTGTAGTAACGACCGATGAAGACGTCTCCCAATATCCACAATGGACCATTTGGAGGAGGAATGTCAATACCCATAAAACCAGATATACACATGGTCTTTCCAAATTGAGACACCTTGAATAGAAAAAACAAGCATTTCAGAAAATGAATGATAAGAAAATAACAAATTTTATGGTCATTCATATTAAAACGTATAAAATAAAAAAGTAAAAATAAGCATACCTTCAATATGTAGTCTTTTCCTTCAAGCTTAAATGTTGTGCTACCAATTACAAATGATATCACAGGTAAATTATCGATTTGATCACATGCAATCTAAAACAATCGTTCGTCATTAATTATAGGTCTAATAAGCAACTGTACAGTTAAGTGTTAACCTTACAATATATTCTCCTCCCGGTATGGCAGTACCACCAAGAAGCTCATTGATTTGTTTAATATTGTCAACGGGTCCAGCAATCAAACTGGTGCCAGTATCAGCAATTGCTTGAAGGGCTCCACTCACAATTGATGTATTGCCAACAATTACTCTATTCAAATAAATAATTAAATAAATAATAACTATAATACATCAAAGGAAAAATGCCATATTTCAGTTTATAAAAACTTGAATTAGGGGCAGTAAGAAATAATGAACTTTGATAAAAAACAGTTTTTTGTTACTAATAATTAACAGTTATGTAAAAATGAAAACATACTCATCTAGACCAAACTGCCAATAACCATGCCTGGTAACAGGAACATAAGTAAACGGTCCAGTATACTTTTCAGGATCAGATCCACCAAATATTATTTCACCACCAGGAGTGCTAGACGGATCTCTAAATTAATGTAAATAGACAATTAAAATTTAAATAGTTAGAATAATTTTTTATTTATTAAATTTTAACTGTGCAATGTAGTAATCTCTGTATGAATCTCCAGTTTAAATTAATAAAATAAATATATTTTTTAAAAACGCATTACATCATTACCTGTTCAAATAAAATGAGAATATAGCACTTTTTATAATGCCTTGATTAACCATATTGTAGAACGGGGGAACGACTCCATCAACAGCAATTGTGTTGTATCCTAAACCAAGTATTCCATCAAACTTTGCAGCAACAAAAGCAAGTCCTGGTTCTTTGATTGCTTCAGCAAAAGTTTGATTAATAATTGAAGTTCCATCCATCTAAATGGTTATTATTATTAAATTCAGCAATGAAAATAAAAAACAATCAATACAAAAAGAAAATAACAATATGAAAATTACCAAAGTTCAATAAAAAAATTAACAACACTTATACTAAGAACAACATTGATAACAATTAAAACAAAAGCTATAGGTACTAATTCTTCTAAAAAATCTATACTTCAACTATTATATACTAATTAATGATGAGGACTGTTGAGATTGTTTAATATATTATTATTATTATTGTTTTTATTAATTATTAGTTGAAAATACCCATCAAATAGTGTTTGGAACTTTTAAATAAACCAAACAGTTTCAATTATTTAAATAACTTAATTCACTTCAATTAAATTATTCAATTGATTCATCAATACTTACAATAATTTATTTTTGAATTTTAAATTTGTATTTTAAATTTGGTAAATATATGACTATTTATGATCATAACTTATTTATGTTATGCTTACATGACCTTATTTTTTAAGTTTATTTTAAGTTTATCAGTTTATATAGTTTAAGTATCTGATTGAGTATATGAACAATTAATTCCAATAATTATGCAATTAAATGTTAAGTAATATTAAAACAATTATTTATGTAATTGTTAAGTTATAATAGTTTTATCCAAGTGGCTTTAAAATAAAAATAAATAAAAAAACAATTATTATAAATTAGAATCCTTGCCAGTTGCCATACTTGTAACTGATATATCTTTATAACATTATATAAAATCGTCTTATTTTAAAAACATGTACTAACAGAAATGACATCGGTAGACAAGTAGCCCGATAAACTTCCTGAACCGTAATGAATCGAAAACTCTGTTCCATTCTTTTGATATGTAGTTGATTTTGACATATCATACTTGTTATGTAACACTGAAAAAAAAATATAGTTAGCAAAAAAACAATAGTATTGGTACTAGTGATTAAAATATTTATAGTATATTACTGCATGCTATGTTCAAAACACTACATTGTTTTGATGGTACCCACAGATTCGACGAACCCGTGTCAAATACCACATTAAAGGGTTGAGGGGGAGTTCCAATAGAAATCGGTCCATAGTATTGAGCCTGTAAAAAAGAAAAATTGAAATGATAAACAACACATATAGATACAGGGAAGATACACGCTTACGTCTAAATAGTTGGACAATGGTTCGGCATTGAGCGGATCATAGCGACGTTGAATCTGGCCTAAAATATTGGAATTTTTCCCTCTGAGCTGATTACGTAAACTCTCAATTTTGTGGAGTTTCACCCTGAAGAACGATGTGAGTAAATATTTGATTTTCGAACCAACCAAAGTAACACTACTTACCTGAACAAACCATCATCGCATTGTACTAATGTGACTGTAATCGCAAATAAAGTAGGCAACAGCAGGCAAAAACATTTGAATGCACTCATCATGCACCACACAAGTACACAACGGTCGTGGCAATAAAAAACGATTTATAAATTCGGTGACGAAGAGTACGGACAACCGCAGTAGTAGAGTGTGTCGAAATCGAAAATAATGCAAGTCATAGAAAACGGTTTAACAAATAAAAAAAAAATTGTACCTAAACGAAAAACAAACGACAATAATAATAAAGCCACACACACACACAACTACACAAGACACAAGTGTACAAAATATTTAATGCACAAAGTTCATAGTCATCCGTTATTAATTTATTATCAACGCCACTGATAAGACTAATGAAGGCCGGTGACCGAATGAACTTGTGCAGTTGTGCAGTGCGCAATGTGCATCAGCTGCAAGCCCTATTATTTGTATAATTGTATCTGTCACCTATAAACTAAATACTAATTTATCTTTATAGAGCTGTGCCCTATAAGTGCGATGTTATTGTGCCGTCTGTTCCATAATCCAGCCCGAGAACAACAGTAAGTTGTTTGGGCGCCCGGTGCTAATGTGATATTTTCATTGGAGACACTTTACGGGAATAATGATCCTGCCCTGTAGAATCAACCAAATTGTATTTATTTATTTTTTTAATTGATAGAGGAAAATATTGTACGGCCCTTATCGACTTCATTTTTCAATATTCTAATCTCAAACTAAATAATAAGTCTTTACAAAAATGACAATTTTTAGCTTTTTTTACAAAATATTTAACATAAAATAAAAAATCTGAGTTCTTTACGGGCTGTATAATGTTATTGTTTATCAACAAAAAAATTAATTATCTGGAAATATTTAGTTGTCAACGAGTTATCTATTCCTGTGAAGTCATTTTTGTCTGCTGAAACGTCCGGAACGGACAACTAAATATTTTGTTATTTGTTGATTAATAACATGTACCTGCGAGTGCGAACGCATTGTTCATATAGCCCCGTCATTTATAAAAATCATTTAGATTTTAGACTCATACATACTCACAAGATCGTCCGACCCCGAAACGATGTGTGAATTAAGTTGCCAATTATTTGCTCCTTAATCAATAGCCAAGCATATATTTAGCAATAGAAATCAAATAATATCGAAAATTAAAAAAATTCAGCTCACTGATTCTACCTGCATTAAGCTTGTGGAAAATATTGTAAATCATATTTATGACCGTATCATTGAAGACTTAGCTTTGCTTTTAAATCTAGCACAGATATTTCAGCCACATCACAATGTTCTATTTCTTTACAGTATGTACTGAACAAAATTATATTGATTCCAATGAAAAAATCGAACCAGAGGCATCGATTATCTTGATGTGGCTATTTTTTTCATAGTAATTTTCTAGGCAACAATTATATGTTGATATAAAAATATTGGTGTGTGTGTGTGTGTGTGTGTGTGTGTGTGTACATCGATGTCCAGATGTGTGAAAAGGGATTTATTCCTCTGTTGAAAAACACATATATAATTTAACAAGTATCTATAGTAAAGTCATTGTATTATTCAACAAATAAAAATTTGGCAGCACGCTTTTCAATTCCAAAAGTAAATTTAGAGATGAAAATATTGTAAAAACAGTTAATTATATTCAAGCAAATTAAATCAATCGCAGACAATTTAAAAGTATTTTAGAAGAAATGAACTGTAATTACATTGAAGATGTTTTACATATTTCGATCTCGATGCGTTAAATAAGCTGAGGAAAAGTACTTAAAAGGTTTTTACTTAACGATTCAAAATTATTGCAGTTTTAAAATAAAATAATACATTTTATGAACTTAAAAACAATTAATGGTGGTGCTTTTTAGCTTATCCAATGAATATAAAAGAAAATTTTATGATTTAAGCTGTATAAAGAATCGCCTTTTTCTTATAGAAAATCCTTGGCACTTAGAAATAACAAGTAAAATCAGATTAGCTGCATTAATTTTATGTAATCATTTCAAACTATTTGATGAATTCATTGAATTAAAAAATGATAACAATTTGGAAGTTATTTTCAAAGAAAAGAGAGAACAAAAAGAATACACCAAATTTTGGAATTTAGTGTTGGAAAATACAAAACAATACAAAAATGTGCCCACTTGTTGCAAACTTAACCATGTTCCCATCAACATATTTACGTACATCTTCATACTCAAAGTTGAAATAAGTAAAGAATGTGTACAAAAATCAACTTACTGATTCTTATCATGACGACTTGTTAAGAGTAGCATGCAACAACTACCAACCTGATATACCAAAAATAGTGAAAAATATGTCACAATAATGTCAAAAATCGCACGGACTTACTTAATAAATAAATATTCGATTTTTTCATAATACATATTAGTATATTACGTTATACGTAATAATTAGGGTTCGGGACTTATTGCACTTAAAATTATCGAAATATGTATGCAAATATGCAGTCAAAATCGTCAAAATATGCTTTAAAATATGCAGCTAATTTTTATTTTATTTTTAAAAAACGCATAAGGTATATTATAAATTATTATTATAAAAATAAAAATTTAAAAATTAGGTAGGTACTTAATATAATAAAAATAATTTTTACACAGGTTACTCATCTCCATCTGTATCAACCTAGGATTCATTAGGTTTTACCACAACTAAACAATTGTCGATATTGTCGATAAAAATGTTGATTATTAAGCGATAAAGAGATTTTCATCGTAAACAGACGTACGTGTTAGTACGAAAGACTACGACCATCCAATTATGATTTTTCCCTACAATTTTATGTTTATAAAAATATAAAAATGTGAAATATGCCCAAATATGTTTAAAAATTTCTCAAATATGCGCTTTTCTTAAAATATGACGAAATATGCAAAAATATGCAAATTCAAACTTAGTATTAAATTTTGTAATTTCATAAAACACATTTACAATTCACTTAGAATAGACTACTACCACTACAAAAAAACATGCAAATGCAATAGAAGTCCCGAACCCTAGTAATAATATACACATGCATTTTGAATTTTTTTTTCAAATGCCCTTCCTTTTTTATTTTGACTTACGGCTGTCATAATATTTTGAATATATTATGAGTCCTAAATAAAAAAAAAGGTTGAGTATGGCTGATCTAGAATCTTAGTTTAGAACGTAGATCGGATTCAAAGTAGGTGGACGTCGGTTGATGATAAGTGTAACAAATGAATATGTTAAATAGTAAATAAATTTCTTATTATTTTCATACATCTACAATGATAATCCATAAGATCAAATTTCCATCGTCAAGCTATAAAAAATGTTTTATCATCAATACAATTTTAATTATACATACATAATATAATACACCTACATACCCAGCCATCCAGGTATGTATGTGGAAAATGAATCGTCAATAAATGAATCGTCAATTGAATACCTATGTACTAAGTAAGTACTCGTACTTGCGCTATTGCATTAACCATTAACCAATGATATAAATATTAAAATTTAAGATATCTGTATGTGAATTGTATTTTGTATTATTGTATAGAATTTATAAAGGTATATTTTATATATTTATTGAATTATAACTTGAACTAATAAAAAAAAACATTAAATCGTCGCATTTCGTTGAAAATAGCTTGTATTTATAATTTCATTGTAAACGAAACTATACAAATTAGGGCTCTTAATTAAACACATTCGTGTGTTTTTTTTTATTTGGTATAAGGAATTTTAAGCACCTACGGTAAATATTTGTTTTGCATTGCGTTATAAATATTAAAAATGCATAAACAGCTAATATGTTTATTGCATATGCTATTTGAAAAAATAGCTCAATCAAAGTGAATATATATATATACCTAACACTATGAATAATTGAATAAAATAAAAACCTGCATAACGAATAAATAATTTTTATAATATTTATCACATAGAAAATTTAGTATTCATAGTTTACTGTTCAGAACAACCTTACGCTAAATATTTTAGATATGTAATAATAATTTGTGACCAAATGTTTTTTGAAATGTTTCTTGTTAGTTAATATATAATATAGTTTTTCATAATTTTACATTATTTTAACAGTTATTAATTTATTATGTATTTATTTAATGAAAACATCACAACTTAAAAGGTGGATTAAAATTGATAACGTTCATAAATCATTGTTTATTGACACTTATTATTCCGTAATTTTGCAGCTCTGTAAGCGTAAAGCGTTTTCTTTTTTCGTCAATGGGTTGGGTACTTACACTGGAATTGATACAATTGCACTTATGCACATAACATTAGTATGGAAAAAACATCTTACACGGACATCATTTATGTACATAGTTTTTAGGAATATATTATAGATAAAGATAATGATTATAGATTTATACATATTATATGGAAAAAATGTTGATATCAATATAATATAATTGTAAGATTAACAAAGTAAACATCATAAGCATAATATTATTTGAATGGAAATTAAAACGAAGATTACTATTCTCGTTCATACGCGACTGCCCCTCTCTAAACTCCACGCTTTACGAATACGGGCTGTGTGGCTGACCGCAGTTCGGCGTGAACATTTTCGAATAGGTAGTTCAATTCCAGTCAACACACGAGCAACGACCGACGGGCTTATTAGTCTTTAAACGTCAACGCAGGCCCATGATATTATTGATATACCTCACGTCAACGCAATAATATTGTACAAATATACAATATTAATTTTTCATTATAAATAAATCCGTGAAAAAAATATATTAAAATAATGCCAGACACTGTGGTTACCGTTCAAAATCCCGAGTCTAAACCTGGAAAACCAGGAGTGGAAAATGGAAACATGAACAACATTTTCTCTTGGGTGGAAATCAACTACAATTATTTCAAAACCTTACCGGGGATATTGAAATTGGCTCAGTTGGTAAGTTATATGACAAATATTTACGTTTTAAACATTATAATAAAAGGTATTATACATAATATTATTAGGTGAACTATATTATTGTAGTGATTGATTTTTTACAAAAAATTAAAATTTTGGTAAAAATGAACTATTATTTTGTATGGTCGCCGAACTCCGAAACATTCCATCGAGGTTTTGTTGTCGGATAACATATTCTGAACGTTAGACCTATCCCCAGCGCTTTTAAAATTAAAATGTGTTTTTTTCCGTTGAAGTCGTTTGAATAATAGTAGGTAATAATAATATGTACAAATAACAATCCTGCCTAATTATAATATGCCCATACTTCATTCATAATCATGAATCATGATATTCCAGTCAGAGATAAACTGTCAACTCGTACACCGCGACGGTAAAACACTACAACAGAGTACCTAATGGAATATCTCTGGAAAAAACAATAAAATGCAATTTGTATATTTGTATCGAGTTTAAATAATTCAAACAATTTCCATACAAAATAATTGTATCTCGTGTTTGTGGTCGAGGAACAAATTAACGTAAACGAAACGTTTAAAAGATTTAAAAAAATTATTTAAAATGTAAATCTAAAAGACGTAATTTTTTATGGATAGTAAAAATTATCAATGAAATCATAATTTCATCGTAAGTGCTTGGGATTTTAATATTGGCTTTAAATTTTAAGCTTATGAATCATTAAACTATTATTGTGTAAACACCGTAAACGCGCATTTGTTTAAAATAATCAACAAACGGTGGTGTGTTTATTTTATGTGTTGAGGTTTTATTGGAATTAGGGACAAACTAATATATATATATATATATAATTATATTGCTATTGTAATTGTTGCAATTGTTTACGCAGGGAAACACATTTTGGTGTTTTACATTTAGCACTTATTTTTTACGAGTATAAACACGATATTATAATCTATGCGTATACAATTCTGAATTCATGTTTTTGTTATTTTAATAAAAAATGTTGAGTGCGCGTGTATACTTAAAAAGAAATACCCACCAGCCAAGCCCCACGCAGCCACCACCGCGTGTAAACCCATCAAAATAGGTTTAAGCATTCTTGGCGCGCCTAACTTCCACAAGGCTACTACAATAGCTTTTTGTCATATTCTAAAAAGTAACATACACAATTATTATTATATTACCATGCATTGCGGATGAAAATATTATAATATAAACGGAAATTTAATTACACGTCTTATTATCTTACAAATACTGCAATTATTTACGTGTCTGGACTGAAAATCGGATAGGGACAACTCTATTATGGTATTATATATTATATACTTAATATGAAATACCCTAAGATAAAATCTGGATCCGTATTGCACTCACCAAATGGTTACCACTTGGACGGCTTTATTATACAGCTGTACCTATGTTAATTGTTTAATCCTTACAGATCGAGTTTTAAAAATATCTATTCTCATTCTTTTACGGTTTGAAGAAAAAAATAGAGTCACTGCGGCGTATCCACAGTTATACACAGCATACAATAATATGTGCAGCAGCGTCCTAAAATATACGCCCTAGTTATAAATATTATAAATAATAAATTTCAGTTGAACATCTTAATAGAATATAATATTATATTATATTATACTATTGATTGAACTAAAACACAGCAAGACGTTTTGTTTACGTTGCAATATTTATTATAATATACAAATTTTAACGAATTTAATCGACTAGTCGTAATTTTGAAACAGTTCATTGCATTAAATGTATAGCGGACGTGGAAAACGCACCACCACATATTATAATATCAAACGACTTGCCTGTTAACACATACGCAAGAGAAAAAGTGACACGTACGTACCGTTTTATTTTTAGACGCCGGTTTTGTAGAAAAAAATTGTAATTTAAAAAGCATATTATTATCGCAGGAAAGCGTCGCAATAATAATTAATAACTCTCTTACTCGGGCGTGAATACATTTTAATATTGTAAAACCTTTAGGCACTAATATTATATTCTATATACCGAATAAACAGGAGAGATCGATAATTAATGGTCATTCAAACGCTTTTGGTCTGGTGACAGATTGTAACTATCCTCTCTCCCACCCCTCAATTATTGTTTATGGATTTTCGATGTGTTTGTTAAACGACTTTAAACCGTTTACCGTTCATGTTCATATATAATATACGGATTCCTGAAACTTGGACGACTTGGTCTATAAAATAATTACAACAACAAAGCTCCGGGCCATTAAAAACCTGATCGGTGCTGCTGCAAGATAATAGCCTTAGTAACAATATCCGAACGGAATGCGGTAAAATAAAAAACAAAATTGTGGGCTATCAGGGCATGCACTGGGAGGGGGGGGGAATAACTTGTATAATAATATTATATTTATAAATACGAATAATATTGTTGTGACACACTACACGAGGTAACCCACGCGAAGGAAGACTGAAAAGAAAAGTTCACCTATATATTATACCTACCTGCTCTACGGCTCTATTCCTCGTTAATATATTATATTTCTGAAATATATACATATTATGTTTGTATACAGAGTGATCGTATTTACCAGCTACCTGTAGATTAAAGCTGTTGTTATTATTATTATTCTATGAAAATTTAAACAAATGTTCCTCGAAAAAACATAAACAGTTGACACATATCCTATATTATATTATCATTGTTTATTCAAATTTCAAACCGCATGTAAACTTGATTATTTTTAAACAGCGTTATATAGATATTTAGATAGGTACACAACATTTCAGAATACTCGTTGGGAATTTTTTGTCTACAAGTTTCATTTTTAATTTACACAGGTGCAAAATATATTTCGTGGGTATATATTTAACATTGCACTGTCATAATAATAACACATATTTAAACCTAAACATTATAAATTAGTGGAATAAATTATCATAAAATGCATAATATATGATATAAATTATCCTCTATAGTCTATACCTGATATTTTAATCTATAAACCATATAGATCGGATAGATCGTTATTTGATCGCCTAGTTTGTGAATAATTATGGCAGTGATACAAAATACAAATAAAACAATTGAGGCCTCACAAATCACTCAATCCTCACGAAATCTCAACAATCTTCCCAAACAAATACACTAGCGATGTGCAATATATTATATAATATGTCTACTTGTATACATTCCGAATACATCTTCAAATCTTCCGAATTTATACCTTGACTTCTCCCTACACGCTTATACTATATCAGCTTATACAACAATATTAAGCAGCCCGAAGCCCCATCCTTCGTGACTCTGAATTTTAGAGGTACTGATAAAAATAGACAATATTATTCGTTATCAAAGGGAAGATGTAGAGAAAGCCATTATAATATGTATTATACTATATTTATCTGGCATTCCGGAAGTCTACAATACATTTGTCTCTACTATTTTTCCTAATTTTTTCATCAAAATCATCCACTTTCAGTAAATATATAAAAATAATATTATTGATCAACGATCATTAGGTCAGTCGTTTGTGTGTGCAGGTGTTGTTCCGCGTGCACACAGTTTTAAGTAGGACGAATGACGACGATGTCGACGACGACGACGACGACGGGAGGGACGCACTTCGTTGCAACGGTGTTTTTCGACGGAGTACATGCGCTGCTGCAAGCACTCCTACGCTTGAGAAGGTTTTCATTAATAAATACGTTGTCGCGATCGTGGTGACGTGGTCGTATTCATATTTTCCCGTTTCCTGCTGTAAAGCGTAAATTCGTAAGTCATCTCTGTACTTCCGCCTGTAGCAAACTGCAAGCACTTTACGATCTACGGGGTACACTATATAATGTCATGATCATTGGCGTCGACACACTGACCTGCAACAGCGGCGTGCGATAAGATTATTAAGATCTATGGTCTGTGATGTGTGTGGTGATGTATATACCTACGCTTCTCACACGCGACGGACAAATGGCTAAACGTCTTAATTGAACGTTAATTAAACCAATTTCTACCGGTTAACGAACAGTATGATACAATCGTAATTACAAGACGGTCGTCCGTTCTCTATTCGCATTAAAATAAAAAAATAATTAAAGCGGAGGCGGACCACACCGCGCGATGACTACCTTATATATACGTATAATAATATGTTTCTATTTTATTTTCATTAGAACGAGATAAAATGAGAGGCAGTAAAAATAGTTTCATAATAGTTTATAAACCTACTAAATAATAATAATGTACGCGTGTAGTATAATAGGTATTTATACGTTATTTATAATATATACAGGGTGATTTTTTTTTAAGATGATATTTTGAAAAATATATTGATTTATTAGGGATCGAGATTTGAACAAGCAGTCTCTGATTTACATAAGTACCTACTGAAATAGTAATATGGTCTATGAATATTTAAGTATAAAATGTATTACCTAAATAAATAAGTGTATAAATAAATATGTCGGTGTGGTAAATACTTAAATGTGTTCCAATTTCGTAAGTAAAAATCCGAATATATGAAATTAATATGGTCTCTACATTTACTTAAATTATAATAATTGCAAATTTTAAACTGCATAATACCTATAACAATAGTAGGGTGGCAATGTGGTATGTATTAAACTTCACACTGTGTAGTAAATAAAACTCCACAATACACATTAATATTTCTTTCGCCATATTATATAATAGAGGGCTAAATGAGATGTTCCATCAGTATAATTCATAGTACTATTTAGGTATTGTCGTGTTGCACCATTGCAGTCCTAATGAAAACAAACAATTTCACAGTGACCGTGAGCAACTTTGTAAAAATATTACAAACAAGCATTATGAATAGGCGCTCAGTATACCTATATAATATATATTTTTTTTTTCAATATATTCCAGCGAACAAATAGTTTTTGAGTTTCGTTAGGTTTTCGTATATAGAACGGTTTACGACGGTTGCCCCAAAACAACCGCTCGAGCATGCCTGAAGGCTGAAATATACTAGGTTATTGCACATCTAACCTATATTGTAATCGAACAAA